TCAGCTGCTGCGTAGCGCTCGCCGCGCCCGGTCCTCGGCGCGGATCTGCTTGAGCAGCTGCTCGTTGGCCTCTCGGGGGCGTCCAAGAGAGAGGGGGGCGTCCAAGAGGGAGGTTCGCAAATCATGGCGCGAGGCATGTGCGCGGCCCAGGGGGGGGGGCCCAGGGGACGCATGCAAATGAGAAGAGGCGCCATGAAATCCGAGGAGATATCATGGCCCTGGCCATGAGCCCCCATCCCTGATTACGAAGGGGCCCTGGGACACACAAATAAAAACACACAAATAATCGGATTCCCTTCAATATTTTCTGGGTTTCTGTCTTCCCCCCCACATCCCATATTTTCCAATATTTTCCTGGGAGTCGACGATTAATTGTGTCTGTGTGTTTCTTTCCCTCCTGAAATTAGTCATCCCCCCTCTTGGCCGCCCCCGAGCCTCCACGGCGCTCTGGCCCGTGGCCGCGTCGAACTCGTCCATGGGCAGCAGCTCCGCGGTGCTGTCGATCGGAACCATGCTCAGGGAGACGTGAGACCCGGGCTAGGGGAACCAGGGTTGGCATGGCGGGGCCACCATAAGAAAGACGCGATTCAGTCTGAAATCAGATTGACTACCTACCAGACCACCCCAACCCAACCCGAAGACTCGAATGTGACCCGAATTTCGGGTCGGGAGGGGTACGGGTTCCATGTGTTTTTTCAATGTTCCGCGACCACCCCCCACTGGAACTGGAGGGCAGATTGCGGCCTTCGGGCTGGGTGTTGGGGTGGTCTGGCAGGTGGCGACAGACGGGGGCTCCTCCCGCTGCCAGTCGTCCCACGAGCACCCGACGGTCCGAGCCCAGAACGGGCTCGCCAGAGAGCGCGGGCGAGCCCGAGTCCCAGTCAAGCCCACTCGTTGGGGGGCGGAAAGATACGGATACGTGTTGTCCCCGGAGGACCAGGAAAGGCCGAAAACGAAGGGGGACAACACCTATCCGTATCTTTTCGTCCCCCGAACTCGAGCCGTACGCCTGTGCCCACTCGAGGGGGGAGGAGGAGGAGGAGGGGGAGGAGGAGGAGGAGGAGGAGGAGGAGGAGGAGGAGGAGGAGGAGGAGGAGGAGGAGGAGGAGGAGGCGGAGGAGGAGGAGGAGGAGGAGGAGGCGGAGGCGAGCCGTACGCCTCCCGTGACCTGTGCAGCGCGTCGGAGGTCCGCTGCAGCCGCAGCAGCGCCTCGGCGTGCCGCCGGGCCTGCGCCGACCGCCACCACGAGAGGGCGCCGCTGGCCCCGGCGCACAGGAGGCCCACGCCGGCGGCCCTCGGCGCGAGGCCGGCCGCCTGCCGCCGCCGCTGGAAGCGGCCCGCCGAGTAGGCGCAGGCGCCCAGGGCGCCCGACAGCAGGGCCTTGGGCGCGGCGAACCGCTCCAGGACCTCACGAGGAGAGTCCAGGGAGGCCTCGTGCGGCGTCTCGGGTCCCAATTGGAGGCCTCCTACTAAGATGGGGCTCGAGCAGGCGGGGTCGGAGGACCGTGCCGCATCGGCGATGCATCGGCGCTGCATCGGCGCTGCATCGGCGATGCATCGGCGGTGCATCGGCGACGCCGGCGTGGAGAAGATCGGGCTTCACATAGAGCCGCATCGCAGATGCATCGGCGATGCGGAGCGATCGATCCTCCGATCCCATCTAGGAGGCCTAGACCAATATACGTAGGATCCACGTCGGATTGACGTCGGGCTCGTCGGATGTACGTCGGATTTACGTCGGATCTACGTCGGGCCATCGCCGCACGAACATCGCCCCGTATCTGACGAGGCGGACATGTCGACCCGATGCCACAGTTCTTGCGCGCCGCGCGAGGCCTCCGAACATTTCATCACATGGGGACCAGGTCACATCCGGCCAGGTCCGCTGGGGACACCTCCATGGGCGGCACCCTGGTGCCACCCCCGCCCCGACGCGCCGGCGCGCCGCGGTGTCGCGCGGCGGGCCGGCGCCCTCGGAGCCGTGCCCAACAGGGCCCGCGCCGAAGACTGCGCGAGGCTCGGAGCCCAGGCAGCCGCTTGTGCCAGAATGGATACGGACTGCCAGTGAAACAAAGGATCCCTCCCCTCCCCTCCTCCTCTGGACCAGCGAGGGATACGGTTGTAAGCTGCTGCCTAGCGCGTCGCCGCGGCTGATACGGTATGCCCTGCGATCTGATAGCGTGTCGTTCCGCTCCGAGGAGGGGCTGGGAGCCGCTCGGGACGTTGACGCCTGGGGACTGGGACGTGGTTAGCGTGCTGCGTCGAAGCGTGTCGGGCCAGAACCAGCGGCGCGACACGCTGAACCACTAGGGACGATCACCAAGACAACCAGATCTCATTGCCAAGCACGGCCTGAGGCTCGGCCCGTGCACTGCCTAAGCGTGACCTCGACGGCTTCCTGCTGAAGACTGGGCACAACAACCATACAACGCACATCCTGCGCGCATGGTCGAAGCAAGACCGCAAAGACTCCACGCACGGCCCAGGACCTGGCCAATCCACGCAAGCCACTGCACGCAAAGAAGAACAAGGTTAGGCCAGCTGGAGACGACAAGAAGATTTAGGGTGGGAACTGCTTCGCTGCTGAGCTAACTTTCGATGAGCTCAGCGGCCCTGAGTTTGGTTCGCATCGCTAGGCTCAACTTGACTTTGGCTTTAATTCATTGTTGGCGCTCGCTTGGCCAAGAAAGTGTACATACGATATACTTATTCCAACGATGCTCACACTAAAAGGGATGGGGGGAACTTCGGCTCCTTGGCAAGAGGGCCCTCGGCTTCATAAGGGTGGGAGGACCAGGAGCTTCTGAAGACCTACAACCCCTTGACGGGGGGGAGTAACTCTGAAATTGGGGTCCCACTTGGAATGATCCGTGTCCAACGGCGGCGTCCTTTCTCAACTGACCTGGCGATTACATGGTGCCACGTGTCGTCTCGCACAGATATGCCTGGCTTTGATCAGCTTGGCTCAGCGTATCTGCTCGTATCTTCGCTTGGGCAACGTGACCCAGCTTCAAGTATCATAACGTGAGATGCATATACATGGCGGGCGTTGCGGAACACACTCGGGCACCTAGCTGGACAAAAAAGAGGACAAGCAGGAGCAAATACTGGCCCACTGGTGCCACGAGTTACTTACAACACGAGCAGCTTCGCATGAGGGTCTTGTACATCAAGAGTGTGAGCGACAAGATTTAGCAGTGCGCGTCTTCGCTGAGCCTATCATATCCGCATCGCCCGCAGCTCTCAAGACCAGTGGGGCCGCAGCCTCAGCGTTTCGTTTAGACAACTACCTCTAAAGTAACCCTGAAGATCTTTAGAACCCCCCAATAGGGGGTACTTGTTTGTTCGCTGGCCTTATTGAAGGACTCGAGTTCCAACAAAAGGGGGAAACTTTTTTTTTTTCGGCGGCACCCGCCGCGCAACAACGACGACGACAGCTACGACTACGAGAAGGAGGAGGAGGAGGCAGGAGGAGGATGGGGAGGTTTTAGGACCAGTCCCATTTACCGCCGCGAGAAAAGGAATGGGACCCAAACTGAAGACCTTTAGCGGTTAACCTCTTGACCGATTTCTCTTGGCATTGCCAACATGCCTTGCGTGCCCGTGCTGTGACGGGACGAAGGCGAGAACAACGGAGACGCTCTTGCGGGGCACCGGCCTTCATGAGGTGCCAAGCGACAGACGCGAACTGCTCCTTGTTCGAGAAACCCTCGCCGTCCCAATCCAAGCTCTTGAAGACCTGATTCCCCGCTCGGGCGCGGCACTCCCGTGAATGCCAGGCGAGGGTGTAGAGGAGAGTGAGCGAAGCAGAAGGCAGGCATGATAGGGTGAGGGAAGATCGGAGCACAAGGAAGCGAACAAGAGGAAGCGAAGGAGGACTACGATGTTAAGAAACAGGAGGAAGAGGAGCAGGAGCAGCAGTAACATGAGCAACGAGCTGGATCAGCAGCGGTGGCGCAGGCGGCAGTGTCAGCCCCAGCCGCAGCCCCAGTAAAAGTACGCTCATATGAGGGAGGGAGAAGATGAGGCTGATTTGGACATGCAGGACGATGAGGAGATGGGCACAAGCATGTGCAGGGGCAGTGGGTTAACAACAACTGTGTGACACTCGTGCTTCACTTGTCTACTATACAGAAGGCTTTTCGCTCAAGACGGCCCCATTTTATGAGATGGCCTCAAGGATTGCGCAATGACGCCAACAAGAAGTCATAATCACTCAGCAGCCATATGTTTTTCAATGACGTCTTCCTTCTAGCCCTTTGCCTTCTGATAGGCTTCTGGGGTGGGGATGGCTCCAAGATCGCTCAAGAGAGCCACAAGAGGGGCCCATAACGACTCCAAAGCGGCCCCAAGATCGGCCCACGAGGGCTCTAAGATACGCTTTCTCAGGTTTCAGAAGGGCAGTGCTAATCGGCGACGTCTCTTTTTCCGATCGATACCATCCAACATGAAACAAGGTGGTCCCAAATGCCTCTGCGAGAGACCAAAACAAGCCCAAAGGCTCGGTCCACTGCTCAAACAACGACCAGCGATAGCCCCAACCAAGAAATCTTCAAGAAGCTCGCATATCGAAAGATCCGCGACGACTTTGTGGTTTACTCCCGGGTCTGCTCGTGCTGATCGCGGGTTTCGCTTTGACGGCTGCCCCTTCTCTACTCCAGCGCATGCTTCTGCATTCCCATGTTTAAGACAGCTCGCCTGGGGATCGCTTCTGGATAAGCTGATTGGGATGCGCGGAGCGTCAACACATGACAGCAGAGACTGCTGTTTGACCCTTGTGTTCCCCTTGCCTCCTATCTCCGATGCACTCGACGGGTCTGGCAGCCAACGACTGTGCACTCAGCACTTCAAAAATTGGGCCCTCACTGCTGGGAGCCTGATGGGGAGGATGCCAGCAAACAATTCGAATGCCCCTTCTACTGCTCAGGGCCCGATTTCTCAATCAAATCCCACCAACCCTCTGGGCACGAGTGGTTTGGGGCGTTTCCTTTTCCAACCGACCGGCGACAAACCCGGGACAACGCCAACACCCCCTCGCCCCTCGCCACCCCTTGAAACAAAACACATCATAAAAAACGCGGCACCTAAATCGGGATCATGCGCGGATGCCCCGCGATCACTCAGCATTGGTTTTTGATAGGATCGGCGGGGGTGCCGGCATATTGCCTGCTGTGTGCATCAACGAACCCCCACCGCCCCCTGCAAACAAACACATGCAAAGTACACTGTTGCACCAACATCCGAATCATGCGCGGCCGCCCGGCGATCAAATCGCATTGGCTTTTGACAGGGACGGCGGGGGTGCCAGCATATAGTCTGATGTGTGCAATACTAACACTCCCAGCCGTCCCTATGCAAAGTGCACTTTGCACAAACATCTCACCAGCACCTTGGGCGTGAGTAGTTTAGAGCTCTTCCTCTTCCACCCCTTGAGGGAGAGGTTGCTCCATCCCCTCCCCCTGGACCTGGACGGGGGGGGGCCGCGAGGCGTGCGAAAACATTTCTTGGCCTCGTCCAAAGACCCCCAAGAGGACTCCAAGAAGCTCTCGAAACACAGCCGAAGAGACCCCGAAAGGCATCCGAGAGGCCTTTGGCCTTTCTGCTCGCCCTCTTCCTCGCCCCTTTCCTCTTCCACCTGTTCCTCCTTTTTCCTCCTCCCCCTTCCCCGTACCCTCCCCTTAGTCCTCCTCCATCTCCCGCTCCTCTTCCGATTCATCCTCCAACCTGCCCCTCTTCGGGTACTCCGTCTTACCCAGCCTTTGATTCCACGGCATGCCCTTCCGCGTCCCTGATCAGGTGGACTCGTCTGGGCATCGTTTCTGGATGGCCTGGTGGGGCTACTTTTTCCATCGCGACCGCGGCGGAGGAAGGTCGGGCGGCGTCCAGGGAATTGCACACAGGCAACGGCCTGAATAAGCGCAGCGGAAGAGGAAGGCGCAAAGACAAGAGCAAGAACGAGCAGGAGAGACGGACAGCAGGCGAACCTCACTGCCGCTGAGGAGAGCGCCGGCACCAGGAGGAACTTCTGGGCGTCGTGCAACACCAGGAGGTAGTACGAGAAGCCCACGATCCATGTGCGGAAGACCGTCGTGATGAACAGCACGCCGTGGACAAAGCCAGGAACAATCGCACCACGGCGACCCTCGACACGACAATGGGCAGGACGTGCGGGCGCTCGACGGAAAATCCGGATCGCCAAGCACCAAATGGTAAACCCTGGTGGGGGTACGGGAAGCGTCTAGCATCTGGATCATTCGCGGACGCACCGCGATCAATTCGCATTGGTTTTTGATAGGGACGTCGGGGGGGTGCAGGCCAACCATGTCCACAGAAAGCTACAACAACAATTTGCCAGTGCCAGCGGGGGGGGGCGGCGGCATCCTGTCTGCTGTGCGCAGGCCAACCATCCCTGCCAAAAACAAGTTCAAAATAATTGCGTGCGCACGCCCTCACACAAGACACAAGGCTCGCAAGCTCGCCGTCACTCTGCATTGGCATTTGGCAGCGGTGGCGGTTCGACATGTTACCCAAAGTGGCACACCTGGCACGTGCGGCGCACCTCGCGGCTTTCGTGAACCTGACTGGCGTCTGCATAGGTGCCCCGATGGTTGGCGTCGGTGGCCCCTGCCTATGCCGAGACTCGGGTGCTACTTTTGTACTTGGAGGGCGGGTGCCAGTGAGCGAGACAGTTTGCGGCGTTCTCGCTGAAACTTGAGCCCTTTCCCAAACCCCCTCCATTGGACCTGGACGGTTTTGTTTTTTGTTACTGGTTGGAGCGTCCGGCAAGGCTTCGGCGAGAAGGCACAGATCATTGACTTTACTAAAATCTTGAATCCATTTTGGCCTCTTGG